CCTCGGCCACAGGGACTCCGGAAGGTCCCTCAAGCTGATCTGGGCCAGGCCAGCGCCGATGTCGACATGCTCTCCCTTCGGCGGGAGCCCAGGATTCTGCAGCAACCGAACCGAAACGACCCGCCGAAGCCGGCGCGGGCCCCGCGGCACCCGGCGCACTCGCCTTGGCTGCCGCCACCGTCGCGCGATCCAGAGCGCGCCGCAGGACGCCCTTCGTCAGCGCCGTCGCGCCATCGGCATCCTTCAAATCGCCGAATTGAAGATTGGCCAATTCTTCTGGCATCGTCAGCCCATTGGCTGCCAGGCAATCAATGGCGCCCTTGAACTGGATATCAGTCCACTTCGCGCCCACAACAGGGTCAGACTGCAAGAAGGCAAGCATCGCCATCGCAATCACAGCGCCACGGGGCACGAGCGAGAACCACGCCAGCTGAAGCCCGCTCGCTTGCATGCCAGCGCGCCATCGTGACGAATGAGAGCGTGCCAACGACAGCTCGTGGTCACTATGGACCAGAAGAGAGGGCCCCATTGGGCACGTGAACGCAGCAGGCCGCTATGGGCCGCAACGAAGCCACTATGGGCCGCAAGGAAGCCACTATGGGCCGAGCGAAGCCCCCAGAGGGCGGAGGGCCGAAACCCGACACACGGCACGGTATTTATATCCCGCCCCAGTGCCAGGCGGAGGAAGCACGGCACGGCACTGCACCACACGACGCGAGCGGGAGGCGGAAGAGGGTCGACCAGCGCGCGGCCGACCAGCCGAGCGAGGGCGCCCCCGCGGCCAGCCGCGGGGTCGTTCACAGCGCGGGCGGATTTGTGCCAAGCAATAACTTCGTTATTCCGACCCCCAAATTTTAGAAATATCGCAAATCCCTTGTGTTTGGGACCCTGACTCCGCCGATCTGCTTGAGGGGTGCCACCGAATTTTAGAAAATTTGGTAAATCCCCGGTGTGTTTTGGACCCTGACCCCGCCGATCTGCGTGAGGGGTGCCACCGAATGCCAGACATGCGGTAAATCCCATATGTTTTTGGACCCTGACCCCGCCGATCTGCGTGAGGGGTGCCACCGAATTTCAGAAATGTGGCAGATCCTATGTGCTTTTGGACCCTGACCCCGCCGATCTGCGTGAGAAGTGTCAATTTTTCACCACCCCAGCAATTCAGAGCATACGTTGCGGGCGTGGTGAAAGCCCGTTTTGGGCCTTCCCCCCTCGCGCGGCCCATCAACAAGGAACAGCAAGCAGCAAGAAGTCAACAAGGAACAGTAAGCAGCAAGAAGCAGAACTGTAACAGTGGAAATCGGAAGCTGCAACTGGTACAGGAAACTGCGAACCTTCGTCCTACAGCCTGGTGGCCCCACAAGGGGGGCCGGCAGATTATGTCTGGTTATTTTTTGTGTGTTTGATTATTTGCTTATTTCTCATTCGAAATCCGCCTTTAGGAGGACGTGCCCGACGACCTAAGGCGGTGGCGCGCCAGCGACGCCGGCGGAGGCGTTGAAGGTTGAACTCCGCATGATCGAACGGCGTGGAGGCACCGAGGGGCACGGTGACGCCACAGGACCCCGGCTGAATTCAGCCTCGAGCGATCGGGGCCGCGATCGATTCAAGGTTGAATGATCGACGCAGTGTCAAAAACTTGTTGATGCCGATGCCTCCACCCCTCACGTCGTGGACAACTCCTGACGGCGGGATGTTTTTGGCAGTTGTCCAGCCTCCAGGCTCCAGACGGCGGGGGTCTGGGAGGTACCGATACTGTCGCCCCCTTGCCTCATTTTCGCCTGTGTGGGCCTCCTGGGAGGCCCTCGTCTGCTGGATTCGCCGCGAAGTTCAAGTCAGAACGCTCCCAGGGAAAAGGTCCAGGGAGTGGCGGTCTGGGTATGTTTGGCTTCCCAAGCTTGCCGTTGCTGTCCCTCGCCGATTGCCGCTGGTTGCCGCCGTCGCCGCTCGCCGCCATCGCCGTCGCTGTCATTCGCCGCTCGTGGCCGTCGCCGCTGGTCGCGGCCGTCGCCGCTCGCCGCTCGTCACCGCCGCTGTCATTCGCCGCTCGTGGCCGTCACTGCTGGTCGCGGCCGTCGCCGCTCGCCGCTCGTCACCGCCGCTCGCCGCCGTCGCCGCTCGCGGCCGCTCGCTGCCGCCCGCCGCCACCCGCGCGCGGGTCGGTCGTCGGCCGACGCGCGCCGAGGCGGTCGCTGTTCACGCCAGAGGGCTGGCTGCACGCGCCGGGAAGCGTGCGCCGGACCCGGGGGGTGGGTCTCGGAGACGACAGAATAGGGGCGAACAGCGCAGGGACGGGCATTACTTGTTGCGTCGGCGGCTAGGTAGGGGTCGTCTGCGCTGGCGGAAGGAGCTGACTGAACGGGGGCACAGTTGTAGCCAATTTGCCAACACGCGAGAGCGGGAAAATGGGACAGAGCAGGCGGACGCAGAGAGTGTGAGGCAAGGCGAGGGCTGTTCAGGGGGACGGATCACTTCCCTGGGTGCGTTGGCGCGGCCAGCCCTGTCGGCAGGGACTGAGGCGGCTGCTGCGCCAGTGTACCTGCTGAGGCGGGGCCCAGTGCAGGAATTGCAGGTCAAAACGGCGCGTAGCCGACGCAGCGCACGAAGTGCATGGCCAGCGGGCCGCGCGCCGTCCAGGTGGGGGCGCGGAAGGTGCGGAAAGTAAAGCTGCATCAAGATAGCATGCAGCACAATGGTGGGCCAGCGTGGCGGGCGGGCGGCAAGACCAGGCCCAGGGTCCCGCACGCGTGGCGCGTGCAGGCACCAGCCCAGGCGCCATCGCGGCGCGCGGAAGGGGGGAGAGCGGGCAGGGGGGGGGAGGGGAGAACGGGGAGGAGGAGCGCCCCGCCTGCAGGAAGACCCGCAGGCGGGGCGGTAGCGCCCGGGTCGCGCCCACGGCAGCGGAGGGGCGGGCGTTACGCGCATTCGTCGGGGAGACTCGCCGAAGGCATGGACCATCGTCGCCCCTGGATACACGTATTCCTCCCCCCTGGGCTCTTTGCCCCCATCTTGGCCTCCGAGGATCCCTGGCTCTCCAGCTCCCACCCCTTCCGACCAGCAGGTGGCCGATTTGGCGATTCTCTCGAGGGGCAGAAAGCGTTATGAACATAAACTTTCGGCGCTCCGCGCGAGTCTCTTGCATCGGCACTGGGCCTTCCTGGCGGCGCCTCTGGCGCCGCCCCTGGCGCGCTCTGCGCGCCAGGCCTAGGGGGCCCAGCGCAGATCCAAGAAATCCGTGCGGAGTTCCCCATGCTCATGTTTATGCAGTCTTTGCTCCTCAAGAAGACCGCTCAATCAGCGACCTGCTTGTCGGAAGGTTTGAAAGGTGGAGAACCAAGGAAATCGAGGTTGCAGGTTCCAGGGTTTCTGTGGATTCGACTCGCCAAGCGTTTTCGCTCGGTTTCCCGCCCCGGGGCCATGACAGGTCGATCGGGCTCGAAACATCGCGCGGAAAGATGTGGTCTGGTGCTTCGGTCGTAATGTCTTTCACGATGTTGTATTTTTCGCGACGTCGGATCTCACGGGGGTTGTATGGCAGTTCTGCTTCAAGCCGATGGAGGTTCCAGGTTGTATGAGCCCTTCCATGGCCCCTCTGTTTCAATTCCAGGGAGGAGGAGTCACTTCGACCCCCATTGCAGGTCCGAGGGCTTCTGAGTTCTTCCAACGTTTGTATGCCAATGCTGCATCAAGTCAAGGGAGAGCAGGCGCCCCGACCCCGTTAACTGATGTTTACTAAGTGGCCCTCCAGGTTTCCTGAACACTCTGGCCCTGCTCGATTCTTTTCTGTGTCCACGGTCACTAGAGGGCGCCGTCTTGATTATTTTGTGTCGTGGCGAGGTCCGAGGCTTATCTCTCGCAACACAAAACGAGCATCCAGACGCTCATGGACGGAAGCCGTCGAGCAAGCACGGTGATGGGCGCGCCGCCGGGGGGGTCCAGAGCGGATCTCTTGCCCCCCCCCGCCCCACAGGATCGCTGTCAGCGTCGGCACGGCGAACCTCCTTCCCAAGTGGGGAGTTTTCGCTCCAGATTCGGTTTTGATGGCCTCTGGGCCCGAGGAAGTACCGCCGCGGGCCGAGATCGAGGGGTCACCGCCAGGGTTATAGCAAACGGAGACCTGCCCTGGCTTCGTAGCCATCACGCTTGGGCTGGTTCCCCGATTTGCCTTTGTGTCGGAAATGTGCGAAGCAGAAGGGCTGGCATTCCCGCCGGGGTAACGCTGGGCGAATCTGTCCGCAGAGGTGTGGGGGAAACAGCGACGGCGAGGCAGGGCGGAGATTGGCACCCGTTGGCACCAACTGAGCTCGTAAAGTCCGGCGGGGGTTTCCGCCTTACTGGAGTCGGGAGCGGAAAAGAGGGGGGTGATGACTAGGGGATGGGGATATCATGGCGGGGGCCATGATATTTCTCCAGATTTCATGGCGCCCCTTCTTATTTGATTACGTCCCCGCCCCCCCCGCTGGGCCGCGCACATGCCGCCGGTCATGATTTGCACCCCTCCCTCTTGGACACCCCCCTCTTTGCCGCTCCCGATGGCGAAATCGCCCGAAATATTGCGGATCCGAAGTCGGGGGGAAGCCGATTCCCAGACCCCCCCGACGTCTGGATTTTGTTCGCAACGTCGACCCTCAGAGGTCTCGACCCATTCCCTAGGACCAGCTTGTCATCTTGAGTCGTTTTGGGACGGTCCTGGGGATCGGCGACGGCCCCCAGAGGTCGAATATAGCAAAAACATCCCGTCGTGTTTTTCGTTATGACGGGGTACGGGTCTATCCTGCGGCTTTGGCATCTGCAGCGGTTCAGTTTCACTGTTCGTTGTTGCCTTTCACCTGTTCGCGCGATGTGGAGACACGTGCCTCCGGCGATCTTGGGCCGCTCAAGTGTGGAGCATTGTTGGCCCCAACGCTTGTTTCATAGTGCTAGACGGCTTTCCAATGGTGTCGACGCGTGGACCCCCCAAGGTCTGGACCGTTGTTGCGTCCTGAAGTTTGAGGGCCCGCATGAACGACGCACAACATGGGGGTCGTCTTCGCCGACATTCGCGCGTAAGCTGCCCGCGCAAGGTCGCGCGTAAGCGCCCTCGTCTCCAATGCGACTTGCCGCGCTGGTGGCCCGCGTAAGCCTTCGCGTAAGGTCGCTGTGTCATCTCGCCTAAGACCCATTTTTGATCGTCGCCCACATGACAGGATCGCCGTCAGTGTCGACAAGGCGAACCGCCTGGAGCTGAACGCCGTCCGGTGGGCGGCGCCCCACGTCGAGGTGACCCTCGGCGGCGCGCGGCGCCGCTCGCCGGCGTGCCCGGGCCCCAGCGGTGAGCCCGAGGTTGCGGGGCGGCCGCTGTAGTCTAGGCAACCTAGATGGGGTCGGAGTGGACAGGGGTCGTGGGACCCTGTCGCATCGCCGATGCATCGCCGATGCGGCTCGATGTGGAGCCCGATTTGCTCCACGTCGATGTCGCCGATGCATCGTCGACGTCGACGATGCATCGCTTTTGCATCGCCGATACATGGCCGATGCATCTCCGATGTATCGGCGGTGCGGCGCGATCCTCCGACCCCGTCTACTCCGACCCCATCTAGAAGGCCTCTATGTCGAGCATGCGTGCACTGCCAAGGAACAGCAATGCAACCTGGCTGCCCCGATGCGCCCTTTTCGAAACGCAGCGCCCACCTCGTTCAGAGCGTCCGTGTTGGCACGTCCTGCGTGCTGGCTCAGCGTGTTGGCTCAGCGTGCCGGCGAGCGTATCGCGAAGAACGTACGTCTTCGATCTCCGTGCTGAACTCCGTGCCAGCACGCCACGGGCTGAGTCTTTTGCGTGCTGGAGCAGCTGAGTACTGCATCTTTGGTCGTCGATGTGTTAGTTGTCCACTCCTTTCGATCTTTGTGTAGTGTTTGGCCTCTGGAGGCCGGGCCACGGGGCCGTCAGAAACGAAGTTGGGTTGGAAACCCCAAAGAACGTCCCCCGGCTTCGGGTAAGGCTTCGGGTTGCACGCGGACAGGCCCCCCCCCAAGTAACTCCCCGGCTGGTTTCGACAGGCCCCCCGAGTAGTCCCAGCCGGCGGTTGGGGTGTTGAGACCGCCCCGGATGTTTCGGGTTGTTCGTTGAGGCCTTTTGGCACTATTCTGGGGATCTGCTGAGGCCAGCAGGGTCTCCTTGGGTGGCTGTCTGCGCGCAACCCGAAGCCCTCCCACGTAGAATCGGGCATTGAGAGAACGCCCACCCAGACAAGTCGACCGAGGAAATCTGCACCAGATCACTCGACATGGGTATTCGAGCGTCCATGGTGCAGTCCCCGGTCGGTGTCGCTAACCCACGCGCATTTAGCTGGATACATTCGGTTGTTTTGGGATGTCCATGAGCTACCCTGCTGGGGTCCACTCGAAATGCGGTGCCGTGCGCACATGGAGTGCCCGCTGCAGCTTTCACAGAACGGTGTTCTGTCAATCTTCGAATCGAGGGTGCGCAGAAAGGGGTTTAGCAGAAGCTGGGGTTCAGGGCGCGAACCCAGCTCGAGGCTGATATGTCTCTCCTCCAGGGGCCGCCCAGCGCGATTCCCCTCCAACTCCACCTAGTCCGACCCCACCTGTCTACGTCCCGCCGGCATTAACGAAGGGAGGGATAGGCTCACAGAGGTTCGAGGTTGGAGGACCAGGGCTCGCTTTCTCTGGGTTTTTGATCGTCGCAGGGCGCCCTCATGGCCACGGCTGGATCCTTCGGGACATTCTGGCCAGGAAGAGAGAGAGGTCCATGGAGAGTTTCGACCTCTGGTCAGGAGGACGACTGGTCCGAGGTCAGTTGGTTTCGGGCACTTTCATTGGCACTCGGCGGCTTCCCAGCCTCGGGATGATCACCGGCAGCTGCGCCTCGTCGATGGCCTTCGGGGGGTGCCCAGACCGTCCCAAACGGCCGCCGCAGCACGCCCAAGCTGTGTCCCAGCAACCATCGGGGAGGGGGGCTGGTTCTGGTGGGGATGCATCGGTCAAGCAGTGGCGAAGCGTCCTGGCTTGCCGATAGGCCCACCACAGGCTGTTCTAAGAACCCTCTGGTGGTCTACGCGAAATTTTGTGCAACCTTTCTTCTGGCTGAGGCTGTCTTGTTTTAGCGCACTGAGCTTGCGCTCTGGGAGCGTTGCCTTCGTTCTCAGGGTTCTGAGAACACCCCGTGGTAGGCCCATCGGAATGCCAGGACGGGCGGCCCCTTCCCAAATTGGGCGCCGCGTAATTGGGGGGTCATAAATGGGGGGGCGGCGAGGGTGGTTCGAAAAGGTACCCAAACGGCACCTACATGAGCCCCCTGGGGCTCTGGAGGGGCCCGAAAGGGGCACGAAAGGGGACCTTTTCTGACCCCCCCATTTATGACCCCCCCATTAAGCCACGCCCAACCAAAGCGACCCCCCGTCGCCCCTGGATCGCCGAGGGGTCCCCGACGGCCGCCTGCAGTCCAGGCGGTGAAGCGAGGATTGGGGCTCCGGAGGGGGCTCTGGTCTTCGGGCCGCTCCTCGGGTCTGCGTCGGTGGCTGGACCACCCTCGGCTCTTTTTTTTTTAAAACATATATATATATATATATTTACATATATATACATACATACATACATACATACATACATACATACATACATACATACATACATACATACATACATACATACATGCATGCATGCATGCATGCATACATACATACATACATACATGCATGCATGCATGCATGTATATATATATATATATATACATATACATATATGTATACTAGTGTGGACCCGCGGATTTAATCCACGGAGTTGCGCCGTCGCAGTCGTCGGTGCCGTCATCGTCGTAACCGTTGGCGTCGGCGGCGGCGGCGTCGGCGTGTTCTTCGGCGTGGGAGCCTCTTGGAGTCCCGTCGGGCCGTCTTGGGGCGGTCTATGAAGCGTCTGGGGCCGTCGTGGAGCATCGGGATGCGAAAAGTCGTACAAGGCCAAAATGTACGTTTTTCGGAGGAAATTTGACGATGTTGGCTTCCTGGGGTTCTGTGCGGAAGGTTTGGGGGCCGTCTTACGGGACCTTGGAGGTCTCTTGGGCCGTGTTTGCGGTCTCTCAGAAGCTCCGGCGCCGTTTCGGGCCTCTGCGGGCGTCTTCCGGAGCCATTTCATGGCCTCTGGGATGCCCTCGTGGGCCGTCGTGGGAGCCTCTTCGAGTTCTGTTGGGCCGTCTTGGGGCGGTCTATGAAGCGTCTTGGGCCGTCTTGGAGCCTCGGGATGCGAAAATTCGGACATGCCCGAAATGTACGTTTTCCCATGGGAATTTGACGATTTTGGCTTCCCGGGGCTCTGTGCGGAAGGTCTCACGGGATCTTGGAGGTCTCTAGGGCCGTGTTTGTGGTCTGTCAGAAACTCCGGCGCCATTTCGGGCCTTTGCGGGTGTCTTCCGGAGCCGTGTCAGGGCCCCTGATGCCCTCTTGGGCCGTCGTGGGAGCCTCTTAGAGTCCTGTTTGGCCGTCTTGGGGCGGTGTATGAAGCGTCTTGGGCCGTCGTGGAGCTTTGTGATGCGAAAGCGCGTACATTCTCAAAATGTACGTTTTCCCATTGGAATTTGACGATTTTGGCTTCCTGGGGCTCTGTGCGGAAGGCTTTGAGGGCCGTCGTGCAGGATCTTGGAGGTCTCTGGGACCGTGGTGGGGGTCTCTCAGGAGCTCCGGCGCCATGTCGGGCCTCTCCGGGTGTCTTCCGGAGCCGTTTCGGTGCTCCTGGGAGGCCCTCTGGGGCCGTCGTGGGAGCCTCTTGGAGTCCTGTTGGGCCGTTTTGGGGCGGTCTATGGAGCGTCTTTGGCCGTCGTGAAGCATTGGGATTTGAAAAGTCGTACATGCCCAAAATGTACGTTTTCCCATGGAAATTTGACGGCTTTGGGGGCCGTCTTACGGGATCTTGGAGGTCTCTTGGGCCGTGTTGGGGGTCTCTCAGGAGCTCCCGCACCGGTTCGGGCCTTTCGGGGTGTCTTCCGGAGCCGTTTCAGGGCCCCTGGGAGGCTCCGGGAGGCTCGGGGAGCCGGGGGCCCACACAAACCCACAAGGCATCTTACGGATTTATTGAATCGCTTCGCTCATTCCGCCGGCCCGTGATATGGCATCGCTGGTTTTTGTCTGTGTGTTCGTTGCCCATGTTGCGCTCTTGGGGGCGGGTGTCGTTCGGACGCGTTGCGTGGGGAGTTTTGATGGTGAAGCAGTTCCCTGGGGGTCGTCTCTCGATGGGGCGAAATAGAGTCGTCGTCAAGATGCTTCTTTGGGGGGCCTCTTGGGGTCTGTTGAGAGGCCGTTCGGGGGCGCCTGGGAGACATGTTTGAAGCCTTCTGGGGCTTCTTTTGGGCCTCCTGGGAGTCTCCTGGGGCCTCTTGGCGACATCTTGGGGCCTCTTGGAGGCCTCTTGGGGCCTCTTTGGGACCTCCTGGGCGCCTTCTGGGACGGAGGGCTCCATTTTTGAGTTCTCGGTATCCCTCCTGAGTCCCTCTTGGGCCCGTCTTGGGGCCTCTTGGTCCGTCTTGGGCGGCACTTGGGCCGTCTTGAGGGCTCTCTTGGGTCGTTTCGGCGCCGTCTTGGGAGCTTCGTGGGCCGTCTTGGAGCGGTCTTGGGGGCCTCTTGGGCCGTCTTGGAGCGTCCGGAAGCCGAAAAAGCCAGAACACAAAAAACATCGAAACAACTAATGAAAATCAACGATTTTGGCCTCTTGGGGCTCTCTTCGGAGGCCTCTTGGAAGGCTCTTGGGGCGTCTTGGAGGCCTCTTGGGCTGTCTTGGGGGCCTTTTGGGCCGTCTTGGGGTCATCTTCGGCGTCTTCGAGCGCTCTTTGGGCGTCTCGGGGGCCTCTTGGGCAGTCTTGGGGGCCTCTTGGGGCACTCTGAGCGCGCTCTGGGGAGCCTGAGAGGCCGCACCCAGAAGGAAAACCATCTCTGAGTAGACTTGGTCGGGCGGCGGTCGGGCGGCGGTCGGGCGTTGGTCGGGGTACTTTTCGCCGGGGGACCCCCAGGGGCCGCCCCGCGCGCGCGAACTAGAAATATTGTTAATACTGTTAACCAGTTACCGGAGATCTTAGCACGCCCTGGGGCCCCTGGGAGGCTCCGGGAGGCTCGGGGAGCCGGGGGCCCACACAAACCCACAAGGCATCTTACGGATTTATTTGAGTGGATATATGTGAAAGAGCGTGTTCTACCGCTGCTGGCGGAAAACCGGGGGGGGTCACTACCGGTTCGAACCCCTCCCCCCCCCCCCCAGCTCATCATGAAAAGGGGGGGTGGTCACTACCGGTTCGAACCCCCCCCCCCCCTCCAAAACCGAGTGGGGGTGCGGACAGAGGTTGGGACGGTGTTGGTGGGACAGTGGTGAGGGGACAGCGGGACAGTGGTGGGGACAGTGGGACAGTGGGACAGTAGAGGGCCGGTAGTGGTGGGGACAGCGGTGGGGACAATGGTGGGAACAGGGGGGACAGTGGACAGTGGTGGGGACGGTGGTGGTGGGGACAGTGGTGTGGGCACAGTGGGAATGAGGTGGAAACAGTGGGACAGTGGAGGGTACAATGGTGGTGGGGACAGTGGTGAAGGCGGTGGCGAGGACGGCGGTGGGACAATGGGACAGAGGTACAGTGGGGACAGTGGTGGGGACAGTGGGGACAGTGGTGGGAACAGTGGGACAGCTCAGTGGGACAGCGGCGGAGTCAGTGGGACAGTGGGGACAGTGGGGATAGTCGGGCAGTGGTTGGGGCCGTGGAGACAGTGGGGAGAGTGGAACCGTGGTGGGAACAGTGGTGGGGACAGTGGGGACAGTGCGACAGTGGTGGGGGCACTGGTGGGGACACAGTGGGGACAGTGGTGGTGAGGACAGTGGTGCTGGGAACAACAGTGGAGGATGTGATGCGGACGGTGGTAGGGACCGGGAGTCGTTTGCTGGCGGTGAGTGGGGGGGTGGGGGGGGTTCGAACCCGTAGTGATCCCCCTCTGGTTTTCGAGGGGGGGGGGGGGGGGGGGGGGGGGGGGGGGGGGGGGGGCGGGGGGTTCGAACCGGTAGTGACCCCCCTCGGTTTTCCGGATCCGGAGGGGGGGGGGGGAGGGGTTCGAACCGGTAGTGACCCCCCCCGGTTTTCGAGGGGGGAGGGGGGGGGGGGGAGGGGTTAGGGGGGGGGGGGGGTTTTGCCGGGGGAGGGGGGGGGGGGGGGAGGGGGGGGGGGGGGATTTTCGGAGGGGGGGGGGGGGGGCGACCCCCGGGCTCCGTAGGAAAAGGTTGGCAGTTTTCCGCAGTAAAGCGGCGGTGGATCACGCTCTCTCATATATGTACATATATAGCCGATTCCTGGTCGCTTTCGGGTCATTACTCGGGCCTCCCGCGGCCGCTCGCCGTTCGGGACGATCCGGGAACCCCCCGAAGGCTCTCGGCGAGGGGGCAGCCGCTGGAGAGCAGCCCGAGGCTGGAAGGCCGCCGATCGACGAGCCGGGAAGCGTCCGACGATCTCGAGCCTCGAAGCCTGGGGCCCCCCCTCTGCGAGGCTGGCTCCGTGTGCTCGCCGCTGTTCGGCTGGCGGACGCAGTTCCGCCTCAACGGCGACAGCGTGGGCGGCCATCTGGTGTTCGAGGCCCCGCACGGCCATGTGAGACCTCCGCGGGGGCTGGTTTGCTGCGGTCGCGGCGTGATCTATGCATTGCAGCCTCCGAGGGCCCTTGTGCGGGCTCCGGGAGCCTCAAAAGTGCGCAGGCGATTTGTCTCCCCCATCTTCCGACTTTTTTTGCGACGAGGGATAAGGCCGCTCAGGGAAGTAGGGGAACCCTGGGAGACAACCCGACAGGAGCTATTCGGACGCACCCCTATCGATGATGGACGCCCCCCCCTTTTCTCCTAAATCCCAGGGTTGGGCCCCAGGGTTCTGGTCCAGTCGAAAGCCCCACGAAGCCTGGGAGAGGGGTCGACACATCCCCTGCTGGAAGCTGGATCCAGGACGGGACCCCGCCCCCATGGCAGTGCTCGGGAGGTCCGGGGCCGCGGCTCTCGCCGCCCATCAGAGACACAGCAGGCGACGGATGCCCAGGCCTGGGGGGTGCGCGCGGGCAGCCCGGGGAAGTAGGCGGTCCCGGCTGGCCGATCGTTGGAGGGAGGTATTTCTGGATTCCCAGATCGCAGTCTGCTTGAGGCGCCTGCCGACTTCAAGAGTCGATGAGCTTTGGCTGTGTTTTGCAATTCTCCGGGAGGGCCTGAAACCGATCTGCTTTATCCGCCTTCCCACTTCATGCTTTTACCTACTTCTCGCGACCGGCGTGTAGGCGCTCCCGGCTGACCCCAGGAGGCTGGGTACGCTTCAGTGTCGCAGCGACGTGGGCGGACCGCGAAGCGCCTGTTTGCTTGCCGGGCCGCGGCCATGTGCATCGTGCTCTGGGGCGGCTGGAGTGGAGTGAATCGGCATCGTCTGACCGATCCCCCGTCCCCACAGGGGCTCGTTTCGACGACTCCGATTCGATTCGATTCGATTTCGATGGGTTCCGATTCCGATTCGATTCGACTTCGGATTCCAATTTGGATTCCGGTTTTTCAACGGATGTTTTACGCCTGCCGAGTTCCGCCGATCCGATTTCTCCCGACTTGGCTGCCAATTTCCGCCGCTCCGATTCATGTTGATCGCCGATCCGACTTGTCGATTCGATTCTGGGCTCTCCTGATCCCCACTGGACCATGGTCTCTCAACCCCACCAGCCCCCACCAGCTCACCCCCAGGCCCCGTGAAACCCGAAAGGAACAGCATATATTCACATGCAGGGGGGTAAATCTGCCACTGTTGCCACGGCCATGCCAGTTGGGATGGGCTCCACCTCACCTTCCTCCCCCCACCTCCCGTCCCTGCCTCTTCCCTCTGCCCCTCCGCATGGCCATTTCGGCACACCCTCACACGCTTCGTGGCCCCGTAGCGACCTCAACCCAAGGCCACACTGGGTGTGTCCACATGCGTCCGCGCCACCCATTTCAGCACACTCCTCAAACGCTTCGTGCCCCCATAGGGGACCTTCCCCTAAGGCCACACTGGGTGTGTCCACATGCGTCCGCGCCACCCATGTCGGCACACGCCTCAAACGTTTCGTGCTCCCATCGGGAGCCCCACCTGAGGCCACACTGGGTGTGTCCCATGCGTCCGCGCCACCCATGTTGGCACACTCCTCACACGCTTCGTGCCCGCACAGGTAGCTCCACCTGAGGCCACACTGGGTGTGTCCCCGTGTGTCCGCGCCACCTATGTCGGCACGCCCCTCACACGCGTCGTGCCCTCCTTGGGATCTCCGTCTAAGATCCCCTTGGGATGTGCCCACATGCGTCCGCGTCACCAATCCCGGTGTCCGCATAGGGAGTTCCACCTAAGGCCACACCAGATATGTACGCAAGCGTCCGCACCACCAATTTCGGCACACCCCTCACACGCTCCGCCGATAGGGAGCTCCACCTGAGGCCGCGGTGGGTGCGTCCACATGCATCCGCGCCACCAGTTTCGGCACCCCCCTTCACACGCTCCGGGCTCCCATAGGGAGCTCCACCTGAGGACTCTGTGGATTCGTCCACATGCCTCGGCGCCACCAATTTCGGTTTCCCCCCTCACACTTTTCGTGGCCCCGTAGGAGGCTCCACCGAAGACTATGCTCACCGAAGGCCCCAGTGGGTTGTGTCCACATGCGGCTCCCCGCCCACTGCATGTCTATTGCGGCTCACGCACCTTACACGTTTCACGGCCTCATAGGGAGCTCCACGTAAGGCCACATCGGATTTGTACACAAGCGTCTGCACCACCGATTCCGGCACACCCCTCACATGCTCTGGGCTCCCATAGGGAGCTCCACCTGAGGCCATTGTGGATGCGTCCACATGCCTCCGCGCCACCAATTTCGGCACCCCCTTCACACGTTTCGTGGCCCCGTAGGAGGCTCCACCGCAGACCATGCTCACCGAAGGCCCCAGTGGGTTGTGCCCACATGCGGCTCCCCGCCCACCGCATGTACATTTCGGCACGCGCACCTTACACGTTTCGCGGCCCAGTCCACCTAATGCCACTGGGGGTGCTGACACAGACGGCTCCCCGCCGACCACATGTTTAGTTTTGCACACCCCTCAGACGTCTCGTGGCCCTATCGGGAGCTCCACCTAAGGCTCCAGTGGGTGCGGCCATATGCGGCTTCTCGCTCATTGCGACACCCACACATCACACATGTCACAAGTGTCGTGGCCCCATAGGGTGGCTCCACAGAAGACGATATCCACAACTGCGGTACTCATAACTGCATATGGTTGGGTCCGTCGCCTGAGCTGTGCATGTGTCCCGTTGCGCTCGATTGTCCTTGAGTCGCGTGTTTGGGGTAGCCCTCCTGAGGGGCTGCGGATGTATCGATCTGCACTTCTGCTTGTTTTCGACGATGCAAAACGTGAATCCAGCCGTGTGTGCTTCCAACTTCCCATTAGTTAGCCCCGGGCGGCCTCAACCGCCGCGCTCAGCGTCTCGGGGGCCAGGGCCCAGGTGCTGAGGAGGTCGCCCTGGGCTGCTTTTGGGGGGCCTCACTCTCGAGGCCAGCCTGGACTAATGATTGTTTTTGGGGAGAGTGTGTATCCTCTGGCGCGTAACGGTCGTTACACGGCTCCCCCGATCCCCCCGGGTAGCAGGAACAATCGTATGTAGAGGGGGTTTTGGACCCCTTGCGCACATGCTGGTGCTTGCGCACGTCCTGTGACGATCGCAGCGCACCCCCGCACCGACGTGCTCCCCCGCCTACCTGGGGCCTCAGCCGCTCCCCTCTTCCCGTCTAACGACCGTTACCCGAAATGGCAGGAACATGCTATCGGGGCTGTCTGTGCGCCGACCTGGCCGTTGGCGGGAAACATATCTCGCGGGCCTGGCCCCTGGGACGGAGAGTTTTTGTTTGCGGATGCCCCACACCGAACACATCCATGCGACCGCGTATACACGGGATCGCACCCCCGGAGTCTAGATTGCGAGGGCGCGGGTATGTGGATGTTCGCCGCTCGTGACCCGAGCCTTGCCGCTCGAGGTCAAGAGCGGGTCGTCGGTGCTGGGCACCAGCATCGTGCCGCTGGATGCCGTGTTCCGCGAAGAGGTCTTCCAGAGGGCGCTGCCACTTCTGCACAGCGGCCGCTCGCGCGCGCCAGCGGGGGGGGACCCCGAGCTGCTGGTGACGATCCGCTGCCTGCCCAAGGAGGCGCACGCCTCCGCGGAGGACGCCGCCCGGCGGGCCCTCGCGGACCAGCTGCGCCTGAGCTGCTCGCAGCTGCGGGTGACGCTGCGCTCACTGCGCCTCTATGGGGCGGCAGTGAATGCTGCCGCCCTGCGCCCCTACGTGAAGGTTGGAGCCGGCTGGGGGGCTGATGTGGCCCATTGTTGTTTCCAGCTTGGAAAAAGGATGGGAAAGGGCCTCCCTCGTCGCCGCGGCTGGGCGCGGCTGGAATGACTGGTCAGTTTCGACCCTGGGAGGGGTCGGGAACCGATTTTGACAGGATTTGCCCTCGCCACCCCTCTTGACAGATTTTCACGGGGCCCATCCACCTCAGATTCCCCCGCCGCCTCCAACGTGAAGGTGGCAGTGGGCTTGCAGTCTGGGGCAACGATGGCGGCGCTGAGCAGCACCGAGCGGGACGCGGAGGAGTTCGTGTTCGTCAACCCAGACGACCGCCGCTTCGATTGCGGTAGCCTCCTTGGCGGCCGCTACGAGGCGCCCCCGAGGAACGAGCCCCGCGGCTCGAAGACTGTGCCCGCGTACCAGCGGCGGGCAGGCAACGACGTGCAGGTCTCGTATCGGAACGTCCGGTTCGTGTTCTGGCAGTTCCAGCAGGATCAGTTGGATTTGGACGTGTACGACGAGCACCCGCTCTTTATCGACAGGCGCATCGCGCTGGCCAGCCTCGAGCTGGATGACCTCCTTCTGCTCCCCTTCCAGGACGACAACGGTACCGCCCCTCTCCCGAGCCTCCCGGGCAAGGCCGCGCGGACCACGGGGCTGGTCACCGCCCCCCTCCACGCGGACGGCGCAGCCGACGACGACCAGATCGGCGAGATGCAGTTGGAGGTGGAGTTCCTGCAGGACCCACTCGCGCTACCGTCGCCCCTCGAGGCCCTGTGGCGGCGGATGACTCACCAGACCCGCTCCTCTCGGAGGGCGGCCAGCTAATACAACGGCGGCTCTCTCGCCTGCCCGAAGCCCGCTCGAAACCGGCCCCGGACCCCTCAAGGGCTCCATCCTGACCCGTTCTCGGAGGCAGATCCAGCCGCGGCGTCCACGAGCCTCCAGGAGGTCCACAGAGGAGGGAAAGCACCAGCGAGCGCACCCCTGTGAAGAGGCGCCACAAGGCCGAGGCGCAGCGAATGTGGATGCAGATTGAACCTCTAGGGGCCAGATTGTCATCCATTGCCACTGCGCCTCATTGGTTCCTGGGGGCGGGAGCCCGAAACTCCCAGACGCAGTGGACGTGGACACAGATCCTGCCCGCAGGCAGGGCTGCTGCTGTCTCGGCCGGCCCTCCTCCGCTCCTCCCACCGGCTCTACGACGCAGCCCTGGCCGCGGTGGCCGCCACGGCCCCAGACGCGGCCCTCGCGGAGGGCCCCCTCGGCGACGCGCGGCTGCTGCCCCTGGGCGTGCGAGAGGCCCTGGCGGCGCTCGTCGTGGCCGCCGCGCTGTCGGGCGTCAGGGCCTCCGCGAGGCACGAGGACGACGCCGCCGAGAAACACACATGATCAAATAGGACATTCGAAACAGGCAGTTACGCCAGAGAAGTCCCCAATCCGTGGAATCGCGTACATTCTCGCAGGCACTGCACCCCTTCCCGCTCTCTCTGTCTGTCTGTCTTTCTGTCTGTCTGTCTGTCTGCCTGCCTGTCTGGCTGGCTGGCTGGCTGGCTGTCTGTCTCTCTGTCTGCGTGTCTGTCAGTCTCACTCCCATGTTTTTGTTGTTGCTGTTGCTCTGTCTTTTTTATTTTTTGTTTGTTTTCTCTCTCTCTCTCCCTCTCTCTCTTCCCCTCTACATATATACACATAGAATGTGGTGTTCCGTTGCCCTCGCTATGTTTAAACATATATATGTTCGTTCTGTTCATATCACATGCCCTCTGAGCCCCCATCGAAACTCAACTATATGGCATACCTTGTAAGTTTGTCTAGGTCTCTCTCTCTCTCTCTCTGTTGCTTTCTCCTTCCCCATTCTGCTCAGGCTCTCTACCCATACCGTATTGTATATCGTCGGTGTACAGACATTCCTCGCCATATATGTTTGCAAGCTGGGAGGGTGGGTCAAAACGTTTCCCCCCCAAAACCGGACCCCCGGGATCTGGGGCTTTGGGGCTCCCTGTACGTCCTTCGAAGAGGTCCCCCAGACCTGACGCGCCTCCCAGGACGCCTTGCCAGGCCTTGCCCAGCAGATCCAAAGCGATCAGTGAAGTGGTCGAAGAGGCGCAGGAGAGCCCCAAGACAGCGCAAAACGGCGTCATGACTACCCACGAGGCCCCCAAGACAGCCTAAGGGGCCCCCCAGACGCCTCAAGAGGTTTTCAGGAGGGCCACCAAGAGGCAAACATGTTCCCGTTCGCTTGGGAAAGCGTACATGTTCAGCATATTCGCTTTCTGTATCCTAGCAGCCTTCACGCCAGCCCAAGTGGCCTCCAAGATCGCCCCAAAACAGCCCACGAGGCCTGTGTATGTCCATTTCCACTGTTAAGTGATTCCGCTTCTTGCGAACGGCGCGGCGGGAGCCGCCCAGGAGTTTCCAAAAATAACTTCCAGAGCCTTCAGGGGCCCTCTATGGCCCTCCCTCCAAGTCTCAGGCGAAACGGCCCTTGGGACGCTACTGTGGTGCTAAGTTGCGAGGAAGTATCGAGCGGAACCGCTGCTGGGAAGGATTCGAAGCCAATCGATAGGAACATCTGTGAAACACGAAGGATGGAGTCTCATGTGGGAGCAAGCTTCTTAGGCAGGGGACCCTGAGGATGTGCCCGCACGAAGGATGAGGAGGGCTGAGGAGGGGGAGGAAGGGGAGGGGAGGAGAGTGAGGAGAAGGAGGAAAAGATGAGGAGGAGGAGAAGGAGCGAAGCGCCGAGAGGAAGAGAGGAATGGAGGACGAGGAGAGAGGAAAGGCGAGGGAGGGAGGATGGGAATTGGCGACATTGCCCGGCAGGGCTCTGGAGACCTGGAGGTGGTTGTTTTTCTTTCATCATTCCCGAGATTGCCCCGAGAATAAGATTCCAGTAAACGCAATCAACGCGCCCATGCGGGCTGAAACGTTATGGGCCCTGCGCGCTCGCACCAGCAGCAGTGAAGCAAGCGATTGCATTGCATGCGCCCCTGTGCGCCCAGAGAGGCACGGGCACGAAAAAGAAAGATTTGGATCGAGCACCCTTGCCTCGGCGGAGTACTCAAGCTTCTGCTGCTGACGACGGGATGGAGGCCGTCGGCCCCGGAAGCACTACAATCCCCAGGTTAGGCTTCCCGAGCATGTCAAAGGACTGGCCACGAAACGAACTCACAAATCACAGCAGCAGCAAGCCCAACAAAATTGTTTGGCCTCGGCAATACATGTGCGCAGAACGCGCCATCCCTCGGCCCCAGACTCGGCCTCTCGTGCCTGAGAGCAAGAGCACAGGTCCTTTAAACATCCTCCTTAGCTCCTTGGGCCCTCTTTCCTCCTTCTCCTCCTCGTCCCGTTCCTTCGGATCCTCGAACCCTTGAGTGTCAGGCCAGTGGCAGGCCAACAAAGTGGGCAAAATGCCAAACACCTTTCAACTCGATAGGCAAACGAAAACTGAAAAAAACGTGCGCATTAGCGCGTGAGATACTTGACAGCAGTCTTTGCTGCTGCGGAGTTCTCGACTTCCTCGCCCTCATCCTCCTCCTCGCCACTGGCGTCGCCGGAGCCGCGCGCTGCCTTCGCAGCACTCGCCTTCGACTTGCGGTTCATCTGGTCCGCTGCGGCCCCGACCCCCATGAAGCTCAAGAATTCATCGGTCAGCTTCTCGATGGCCTTGGCGTTCGTCTTCTTCTCCGACTTCAGAACCTCGTCGGCGAAGCTGGGACGGGTCAGCAGGATGCCCTGCGGCATGAGCTGCCCCTGGGGCAGATCCTTCTCGGGCAGACCGTGAAGAAGACTGACAGACACATCGATATGCTTCGCCGCCGTGGGTCCGAGACGGAGGCTTTCGGGAATATCCAGCTTCATCTTCGTCGGCACGATGTCCATGGTGTAGTTGTCGTCCTTCGGCTTCACGCACCAGGCTGGAGCGATACGTTGGCGAAATATGTTATTGCATCCATGGCCGCTCATGTAGATAGGCACGACGAAACTGAAGACGTTCGGCATGACATCAATCTTCGTGCCCTCGCGGGGGGGGGGGTGTTCGGCGTCCTTGCCGTCCCCCTGGGCATCTTCCTCCTGCTGTTCATCGCCGGGTGGGCGCTGGGCAAGGTCATGGGAAGGTGGCGGATCCGAACAAAAGCACGCCTCGGGGCAACTCGAGGGAAGCGCATCTTCAAGGCGCGCCTAATTCATCGTCAACGATTTCGAGGGCCTCGGCGCTGGACCAGGCCGCGGACAGTGTGGGTGATCTACATTGCGCAGCCAGAGTACAGCCTCCTCGGGGGCGTTTTCAAGAAGTTCATGGAGGTGCTGGGCCGCTTGCTGGCCTTGGTCGCCTGTGTACTTCAGTTTTTGATGCTGTTCGACTTGCGGGGCAAGTTCAGCGGCAAGACTGCAGACCACCTGAAGCAGAAGAGCAGGCAGGCGAGGACCAGGGGATGGCACCCTCGCCGCAAACGCCCCTCACCTGGGAAGAGCGGCGTGGCGCAGGCCAGGAGCACGACGACTTGGGGTTTTTCGTCTTCTCCGGAGCCGGCGCCAGGCACAGAGGAGGAAGAGGAGCGTGAGGTAGAGGCCGAGGAGGCTGAGGCTGAAGAGGAAAAGGTGCACCAGGCAGAGGAGGAGAGGGTGCAGGAGGCAGAGGTGCAGGAGGAAGAGGTCGATCAGGTGACCACACCCTCTTCTGTCAATGAGGGCTTCTGGCAGAGAAGGGGGCTGAGAGGAGGAGCGCCGCAGGGCTGCGACCCGGTGCGCGACCTCTGCGACGCGCTGTCCAAAGTCCTGGCGGGGTATACGGACGGCACGGGCGGGCAGAAGGGAAGGGGCAAAGGCGCTCCCACGAGGAGGCAGGATGCCAAGGCGCAGCGCATGGGCGACTTGATTAGGGCGATCGAGAAGACCCTCAGCAATGCCAAGACGGGAAGCTGGAGCATCGAGCAGCTGATCAAGGACCTCATGGGCACGATCAGAAACTTCCAGGCTGCAGCCAGCTACCAGGAGGAGGAAGAGGAGGCTGAGGAGGCAGAGGGGGCAGAGGGGGCACAGACCCGTCGAGGAGAAGGTAGAGGAGCGGAGGCGCCCTCCAAACCCTGCCCGGATACAGGAGGCGGCCGGGACGGCGGGCGCAAGGAGGCAGACAAGACGAGCAACCATCCGCGGTTGTCCAAGCTCGTCTGGAAGAAAGGGACGGTCTTCACGTACGCGGCCTACTGCCAGGCGATGGCCAACCGGACGCGAAGGAGACGATGAGGAACGCCGAGGTCATCCTCGCGCGCCCTGACCAGGTCAACGCGGTGCGGGACCTGGCGTTGGCGCAGCAGTGGACGGCTAAGGTGGGCATCTTGGTACAGGTCGGGGGCAAGCCGGGCGAGAAGCCGCAGGACTGCCCCACTGCCGTGATGAAGTGGCTCCGGGTCGAAGGACGGGGGCAAGGAGAGACCGTGGAAGGGTGCTGGATCGCCCCGCTGGATGACGCCCAGGGCCTGCCACTGAGCCTGGGCGGCGCGAAGATGACCCGAGCACAGGGTGCAGTCGCCAATAAGAACAACGCGACCGAAGAGCTCGTCACGCTCAGGGTGACGATGGTCCAGCGGTTTGCGTCGGAGCCCGCGTGGAAGACCTCCATGCTGTCTGCGTTCCACAGCTTATGGAACACAGCAGGGGTGACCCGGACGTACGGGTTCAGGATTCTGGAGAGCGCGGATGACAAGGCCCGCACGTGCTTCGCGACAGTCCAGAAATCCAAAGCCGCAGCCATCCGAGCACAGAGTGGCAAAGCCGGCACTTTCGCAGAACAGCTCGTGTGCCAGCACGGGCGTGCAGTCGTCGAGTGGCAGATGCAGGAGGACGGGGAGGGGCCGGTCGCCTACCTGGAGCGGGTCTTGCGACAGGGGCGCAGCAGCTCGGGCACAGACCCGGGCCTCGCCTTTCGGAGGGGCGGCAAATCCCAGCTCGGCTGGCGTCAGCCCCCCGGCGCTGCAGCGGCGCCCCCTGACAAGCCCCTCCCGTGGGAGGTGCACGGAACGCCAGCGACGTGGTCTGAGGCTGACGTCGCCAGTTTCTTGGAGGACAACCGGTGGACCCAGGCCACAATGCTCCGCCCGCGGTCGGGCCGCCGGGGCTGGGCATTCAAGATGGTTCCCCCTGCGGGGGCCCACCTGCAGAACACTTACGAGCTGCACGATTCCACCGTGGTAAAGATCCGCAGAGAAGTGCGCCGACAGGCTGGGATGGAGGCGCGCCCCATATCGGCGAAACCAGGGTTCGTACGCTCAGACCAGGTGGAGGCCGGAAAGAAGCGCGAGGAGAAGGCGGCGAAGGCCGAACCTTGGAAGGCGCAGGAGCCCGCGGCAGGCACGCAGAGACAACAGGAGGCGCCGTTCCTGGCGAAGGAAAGCGGCAGCAGCAGGCAGCAGCGGGAACTGAACCTGGCGCCGAGAAGGCCAAAGGAGGAGTGCCCGACAAGTCGCTCGGGTACAAGTCGTGGGACCTCGGCGGCTGCGGGGGCTGCTTCTACCGCGCGGTTGGGGCAGCCAAAGCGTTGCTCGAAGGCAAGACCCAGGAGGCGATCGAGAAGAACGCCGAGGGCATCGGGGCCAAGCTCCGCGCGGAGGCCACAGCGCTGATCCGCGCGCACGGACTGTGGCAGGACTCGTGGGTCAAGGACGACAATGCCACGCCTCAGAAGGAAGGCGGCCCGGTCCCGGACACTTGGGACAGCCGGGTCACCGCGAATGCGCGGAAGGGCATGCAGGTGGGTGGACGAGCACGCAGCGTCGGCACTCTGCCTGAGACTCGAGAGGCAGATGGTCGTATTCCTGTGGCAGGCAGGGAAATGGCAGCAGGCGCGGGTGTTCAAACCCCCCGTTTGCGCCGGCCTCGAAAGGAAGAGGGCCAAGGCCATGAAGGCGGCGCCTCTCCCAGTGTGCCTGAAGGACGAACACTATTTCGCCCTCGTGCTGGACGTCGCGAAGGCAGAATGGCCCATGGAGTGGGGAGAAGAGCCTGAGGAAGAGGTCAGCAAGCAGCTGTGCCGAGGAGCAGGCGACGGCACAGACGACGGCGACCAAGGATCGAACCTGGACGGGCGGTTCCAGAGCGACCGCCAGTCGGTCACCACCGCGGCCCGCGGCCGAGCAGTGCAGCAGCCGCAGGAACAGTCCGGGGCGGCTTCTCTTGCCGGATGGTTCCAGAGTTGTGCTTCCAGCACAGCAGCCGCGGCAACGGCAGACAGAGGCACCGCGTCCACGGCGGGCGCGACGTGCACCAGGAGGATCCGAGGCAAGCAACCCCCGCCTCGCAGGGTCCCTGAGGACGAGGAGGAGGAGGAGGAGGAGGAGGCAGAGGCAGCATCCCAGGCCGCTCATGGGGAGGAGGCGGCGAAGGAACAGCAGGAGGAGGAGGAACGCCAGGCCGATCCCCCCACCTATGGCCCATTGACGTGGGAGGCGAACAACAGGAACACGCGCCAGCGGAACTACGAGGCGCAGTGGGCGAGGCACGGAGGCCGGCTGAGCAGGGCCGGGTGGGGCCGCCAGAGGGTTACCACCGAGCCGTGGGCCTGCCCCATGAAGGACTGTGGGTACGTCTGCGCAGGCGTCGCCAAAAAGACCCTGGCCACGCGCCGCTCGCAGAAAAAGGAGCACAGGCTCAAGTGCCGCCCGGGCGCAGATCCGCTCCTCTTCGACGCTCGCCAGGCCTCCGATCCCGTCGCCGTCCCGAGGTCGGAGGAGGAGGTCCGGCAGCAGCTCGCACTACCCGCGGACGCCCCCGTCCCGGCGGAGCTCATGAACAGACAGCGCCGTAAGTGCGGAAAGTGGTGGCCCAGCTTGAGCGCTGCAGCACATGCGAAGGCCGTCGCCGCCCACAACAAGGCCGAGCACGCGGAAGACCGCCAGCAGGCCGGAGAGGCTCGCAAGAAGGCGCTCCAGGAGCAGAAGGAGGAAAACCGCGAGGCGGCAGCTGAGGGCAGGCAGCCACGGCAGCTCCACCTGGTGCGGCGGCACGCGCGGGACAAGGACGACGCGGCCAGGAAAGCAGAGAAGAACCAGTACCAGAGAGAGCGCTGGCAGTGGGAGAAGGGCGAGGCGCTGGCAGCCGGCCTGCCGTGGCCCCCCCCTGGTCACAGAGAACGGGCGGCCAAGAGCAGAGCCAAGTTGAAGGCCGAGTCCAGTGCGGCAGCCGACGCCAGGCCCGCGCAAGCCAGACGCAAAAGGCAGAAGGCCAGTTGACTGGTGGCGCTGGCCGCCCTTCCCCCTTCCCCTCCCTCCCCCCCTTCCTCGTCGCCGCGGCTGGGCGCGGTTCGTCCCCCCCCCCCCTCCTTCGTCGCCGCGGCTGGGCGCGGCTCGCCTCGTTCTTCCCCTCCCTCCCCTTCCTCCCTTCCCCCCCCCCCCCCCCCCCCCTTCCTCGTCGCCGCGGCTGGGCGCGGTTCGTCCCCCCCACCCCCCCCTCGTCGTCGCCGCGGCTGGGCGCGGCTCGTTCTTCTCCCTCCCCCCCCCCCCTCCCCGGGCGGCCAGCCCACCGACGCCACCTCCTGCAGAGGGGGGGCGTACGCAACGATGGCAAAGCCTCAGTCACCAGCTGGGGCCAGGAACAGCGCTCCTACCACGGTCTGGACGTGCAACGTGCGCAAGCTGGCAGCTGCCTGGACCCTCGCGGACGCCGCGGTCGTCAAGGGGATCGGTGTACTCATGCTGCAGGAAGTGAACGCCACTAGGGCTGAGATCGAGCACTTCCGCCGCTCTTTCTTCGGCGAAGGGTATAGGGTGTCCTGGGCCGAGGGCCACACCAAGGCAGACGGCAGGCCGGGAGGAGGCGTCATCACCCTCGTCGCCCGGAACCTCCGCAGCAAGGTCATGTGGAAGGTCTCGACTGACATCGGGCAGATGGTCGCCGTGCAGGCTTCCGACACCACGTTGGTCAACGTGTACGCTCACCCTGGAGCTGGGCACGCTCAGGCCATGTTGGACAGCCTCCAGGAGGCCGTCATCAGTGACCAGGCGCGGTCGTGGGTAGCAGCGGGCGATTGGAATTGCACACCCGAGGGCATTCAGCCCCCGTCGGAGTGGTGCCACCTTCGGCGGTCACAGCCGAAGGCCAGATTCAGCCCACGAGGTGGCCGGGAGAGCACGGCGCGCCAAGATGCATTGACTACTGCATGGCGCACGGCAAAACAGTGAGGAACATGGCGTTTGAGCGTTTCAAGCTGAGCGAGCACAAGCGCGTGAGCTTCCAGATCGACGGTCCTGCCGGCGGCCGCGCGCAGGAGCCCCAACTCCAGGGGCACCAGGATCTCTCCAGACCTGCCCAGACGCAGCCGGACACCTGGCTGGCGGTCGCGACGGAAATCTGGAGGGGCAGAGGAGGCGAGGTGCACGCGCCCGGCGGCTTCTCCGAGAACGCCCGGTCCTTTGCAGAGCCAGGTTCTGACGAGGCCCAACAGTGGGTCACGGAGACGTGGGGAGATTTTGAGCGTGCGCTTGAAACGACGTTCCTCACGGTCAGGGACATGGTGCTGCTCCCGCTAGACCACGACCCCGACGACCCCGAGCAAAGGAAAAATGGTGCGGCTGCGACGTGGACAGCGGCTGACTTTTCGGGGCAGGCAAACGCCCCGAGAGGCCAAGGCCCCAGGAGACGCCCAGCACGAGGCGGAGGAGCAGGCGGCGAAGCTGCCGGCGGCAATGCGCCGAAAGGAAACGTGGTGATCACGAAGGTGGACCGCAGCAAGGGTGACGCCATCACCCGGGGCACCTTCCCAGAGGGTCCAAAGATCAGCGCCGCAGATCTTATTGGAAACGCTAGTGTTCGGTTGTATTACTTTGCGTTACAGATCGGGAGCTTCATCTTGTTGATCAAGACAGATCTTGCGCTTTATGGTTCGATGATTTTGCTAGAAAAAATATAACTCATACATAAAACTTGGTACATGCATTATATTTCGCGCTCTAGGTATTTTGCACGGAAGCAGCAAGCGTAACATACAGCCTGGGCGCCCCGCAGCGGGACCAGCGGAATTAAATTCAGGGGGGAAGCAATTTCACAGCCTATGGTGGCCCAAAACTGGGGCGGGCGGATTTGATTTAGGGCGGACGGTTCGCCGACAAAACCCTTACTATCGCCCTGGGGCATGGTTGCAGCGCGACCTGCTGGCGCCGCGCGGTTGCGCACCGCAGGTGGCGCGTGAGACACCCTTTGATTGTGAAATTGCTCCTTTCTCCCCCTCCCCCCCGTCTTGAAGCGCATGCAGGTCTTCCTGATTGTTAAATCGCCCAACGCTGTTCTGCAACTCCTCCTCCTCCTCCTCCTCCTCCTCCTCCTCCTCCTCCTCCTCCTCCTCCTCCTCCCCCCCTTCCTTCTCCTCCTTCTCGTCGTTCTCCTCCTTCTCCTCCTTCTCCTCCTCCTCCTCCTCCGCACTGCCCCCCTCCTCTGGCGTTTGCGATTCGAAGCCATTTTGGCGCGAGGGATTCGCTGGGCCTGCTCAGCCGCAGGCAGTGCGACCCCCACCTCTGGAGGATGGCCTCCTCTGTGAGTGGAAGCTCAACGCAGCCAGAGCCAGATGCACCGTTGCTGGCGGCGGCGGGGGGCACGTTGGAGGATTCAGTGGCCGACGCCCCAGCCCCGGCCCCAGCGAACAAGAAGCCGAGATTTGTACACCCCCGCTGGGCGCGAGCAGCCATGGAGGCCGCCGCCACGCAGGCCCAGGTGCCCACCAGCAGCCAGGCGGCGGTCGCTCCGAACAGCCAGGCCACGATCAACGAGGAGGCGATCGCCCCGAGCAGCCAGGCGGCGGTCGCTCCGAGCAGCCAGGCGGAGATCGCTCCGAGCAGCCAGGCCCCGAGAGGCGATCGCCCCGAGCAGCCAGGCGGAGATCGCTCCGAGCAGCCAGGCGGCGATCGCCCCGAGCAGCCAGGCAGAGATCGCCCCGAGCAGCCAGGTGGAGATGGTGACTGACAGCCTCGTATCGGTCGCGAGCAGCGTGGCTGAGTGCGCGCGCGAGGACGACGTCGGCATCGCAGGTGCTGCTGATAGCATTCAGCCCGCGGCCGCCTCAGCGGGCAGCGAGCCCGCCATCGAGCGGCCCCTGACGAATGTCAAGGTCGAAGGGCATGTCATGTCTGGCCATCGTTCGGCCCGCAACAAGGCCGCGGCGCCATCGACCTGGACACGGAGAGTGACGTGGGTGCCCCCGACGAGTCGCTCCCGGACAGGCAGCCCGATTTCTTCGACGAGAGCGCGCCTCCCGTGGTTGCCACGCCTGTCGTGGGAGAGCCGGGTGCCGACTCGAAGCCGAATGGTGCGCCGATCTCCGACGATGAGCCGCTCGTGATGCTGCCGATACAGAACAACACCGACGACGAGCCGCTGAAGACTGCGCTCAAGGAGAGCCAGGCCCTGGAGGAGGAGAGGAAGCGCAAGGCTCAGGAGCTCGAGAAGGAAGAGGCGGAGCAGATCCGCCTGGCGAAGTTGGCCAGCACCCGCGACCAGAAAGCCATCAGGTCGGAGTCCCTGATCCAGTTGGCTCTCAGCGGGGGCAGCTCGGGCAGCTCGGGCGAGGACAGCCGCCTTTCGTTTTCGTCGTTCTCGGCACGTCGGTGCTGTCTTGAGCCGATTCTCTTCCATCCATCTCCTCCTCCTCCTGATCCATCTCCAGGTTCTCATCCACCTCCCCGCCCTTAAGGCCCTTATCCTCGAGCATATCCTCATCCTCGAGCAGCTCTGCCACCCCGCCCCCCAACCCCCACCCCCCCACCCCGGGAACTCTCGGCCCCCCCCCCCGATACATCTCCAAGAGGATATCGAACACTCCGAAACGTTCCATCGAAAAGATGTCCTGGTGATCTTTTCTAGTCCGTGCGCCCCCTCCCTGATCTCTCATTTCCCCCTCCGGCCCGAAGGACACGCTCCAGACGCCTCCGAAGGTGCGCAAGTCCGTCAAGGAAGCCGAGAAGTTATTCAACTGCTTGGAGGCGACCCGCGGCCAGCCTCCTTCCTCCCCCTATTCCTCCTCCTCCTCCTCCTCCTCCTCCTCCTCCTCCTCCTCCTCCCCCTCCTCCTCCTTCTCCTCATCCTTCTCCTCCTCCTCCTCCTCCTCCTCCTCCTCCTCCTCCTCCTCCTCCCCCCTCCTCCTCCTTCTCCTCATCCTCCTCGTCCTCATTATCTGTCTAGTCGGGATCTGGCGGCCACGAGGGGGAAGAGGCATGAGGAGCGGCAGGGGGATTCTCCTCACTTCTTCCTCTGCCCACCCTCCACCATGCATCCTCCTTTAAGGTGTGCTCTCCATCGCTCTCCTACCCCGTGGTATCATCAACTCCTCACCCCTCCTGAGCTCGAGGTCCCAACTCGTCCCCCCACGTCCTCCTCCGCCCTCCTCCGCGATCCCCCATCCCTCCTACTCTTCGCCTTCTTGCTCCCACTCCTCGACCCCCCGCCCGCCCCATTTCTGCAGTTCTTGCAAGCTCGCACTTCCGTGCGTAACCATTCGTCTCAAGACTCTTGGGATCGGACCTGCCGTGGGGGGGCAGGCTCGCGATGGCCGCTTGCGAGCGGCGGGTTTTAGTTCGAGAGCTGACGCGATGCTGGGCGTACCACATCAAGTTGGCCGATGAGCTTGATTATTGCGGCGACGAGGAGGTCATGAACGCGAAGGTCAAGAAGTCCTTCCTCGTTCGGTACAGGGACCTCCTGACGGAGACGCGCCAGATCGCGAAGTCTGTGGATAAGACTGTCGCTCAGGAGGCCCTCGTCGGAGTGGCGACGCGCAGCGAAGCTGCGTGGCACCTGGCTGCAGGGAAAAAGCAGTGGTCGATCTTCACTGCGCGGCAGCTCAGGGCGATGTTGAGGCACGTGTCCCAGGCTGTCATCAAGACTCCCAGGGATGAAAATTTAGTTACCTCATAAGAAGATAGGCCCTTGTGGGCCGCCAGGTGTCACGCATCTTTGCTTCGCAAATCGCCAGGGGAGTTGCTTGGGCCAGTCCTTTCGCGAGCGACGAGGGCGAGCCAGACATGGTCGACGAGGGCGCAGATGATGAGGGGACTGGCGAGCGCCCCGAGCCTGTCGCGCTCAAGAGGCCCGCGGCCGCGCCCGCCAGCGCGGAGATGGCGGCTCCAGCAGGCTCATCCGGCAAGCGGCGCCGCGGCAGCGCCATGCAGCTCAAGGTCATCGAGGTTCGGGACGGGTGGAACTTCGGGTGGACTCCAACGATGATGGCACTGCGTCCTAATACCCACTCCTTTTCAGCAGTTCTGAGGCTTGCGTCGGCGATCTGGTTTCCAGGGGATTGGTGGCGCGTCTCTTTCAGATCGACTGGGATGAAACTCCAACGCAAAATCCAATGCATTGGAAAATGCGTTGGAATTTCGTCTCAGTCGATCTTGAGGCGACGCCGCGCTAGCCCCAAGGATCACAGTTCGCCAACGCCCGAGCTTTGATGGAGTTTACCCGCAGTTCGCCCTGTCCAGGCAGCCTGGAGATGCCGCGTGGACGCCGACGCCCAGATTCCCGAGCACGCCAGGGGGGAGAAGGTGGATGGCAAGGAGACGCTGGTGGCGACTTGGCCCGACGGAGTATCATGGGAAGTTCCAGGGACCTCTCCCGCTGATGTCGGCGACGAGAAGCCAGGCAACGGTCTCTGGGAGGGGCTCAACGACAACCAGGTGGTGAGGGTCGCGATGGTGAACCACAGGTCGAAGGGCTCGTGGATCCAGACGAGGGAGGGGTCCAGGCAGCTCATGCAATTGTGTGGGTACGACAAGAAAGATCTGGAGTCCGCGCAGAAGTTGATGATCGACCTTGCGACGCGCTACTGCGCCAAGGAGCTCGACAAGCCGAGAATGGAGGTTCTCAAACTTGAGTGGGTCGCCCTGCACAACAACAAGAACACAAAGAAAGACAAGGGCAAGGTGAAGGACCCGGTGGAGGAGTCTGATGGTGAGCCGTTGCTGAAGCCGAAGGCCAAAGCCAAAGGCAAGGCCAACGCCAAGGGCAAGGCCAAAGCAGCGGCGAAGGACAACGCCAAGGTTGAGGACGACGGCAGCGATGGCAGCGACCACATGTATGGCAGCGAGGCGGCCAGCGACGCCGACAGCGAGGGCACGAAGAGCGAGGCCGACCTCCTCGAGGATGGCGCAGACGAGAAGGCGGAGGACGACAGCCCAGAGCCGCGCGCGATCTCTCAGGACACCGAGCCCAAGGCCGAGCCGAAGAAGGCCCCTGCCACGAAGCCGCTGCAGTCGCATCCGGTCGCGGAGCCCAAGGCGCCCCCTGATGCGCCGAGTCCGAGATCGGCTGCCATCCTCGAGCCGATGTCTGCGCCGAAGAAGGCCGATGACAAGACCTTCGTTGAGGTGCGCGCGCGTTCTTCTCCGCCCAAGCAGGTGCGCAGCACGAGCTCATGGAAAGCAGGCAGCCTGCCGACCATCGAGGAGGACTGGATGGAATGGTGAACATCTTCGAGGTCGGCAGCCTTCAGCATCTTCGGGGTCGGCAGGCTGGGGCGTGCCGAACAGCTT